AGCGCCTGCTTAGGCAGAGTGCAGTGGCCGGGTTCGATCCCTGGTGTGCTGTGTTGGCCCCGCCCCCAGGGCGTGCTGAGACAGCCATTGAGACTGGGTGTGGTGGCACCCGCCTGTAATCCCAGCACTTGAGAGGCTAAAAACATGAGAATCACTAGGAATCCAATCTATGTAGTGAGGCCCTGTAGATCCTGTGATAAATTTTAGAAGAAGTCCAAAGTTACCTTAAATTAAAGAAGTCCTATGTAATCGTCAGTTTCAGAATTATCTTGGGCTTCTAAATTTTCCAAAGTATAAACTGTCCTCAAGGGGCTGGGGAGATAGCTCAGTAGAATAAGCACTTGTCTGGCAAGCGCAAGGGCCTGAGTTCAATCCCCGGTTCCACTAAAAAATAAAAAAATAAACTGCCCTCAGTGTAACTGTTGTCCATGTTAAGTATTTATCTTTCTTCATTATTGTCTTTTTCTAAAGTGTGCTCATAAAATATAGGCTATAAAACATACTTGTGTTTGGTTTTAAAGAAAAAATTTTATCCTTTTCAATTGTTTAAAATTTTCTTCATTCTTACGTTATACTGCAGGACCAAGATTTAAAGAAACTCTAAAGCCCAGTTGAAGTAGTCAAAATAAAAGGCTGATATATGTTACTACATCAATTTTAGAGATTCTAAGGAATGCTAGCATTATTTTATAGGCTAATTATCTTGACCTTAAGGTAATTACCTACTCTAATATTGTTTTGTGTTTCTTCCTCTGAGGTGGGTGTCCTGCATATCAAATACTAAACTGTAGCATACTAAATCCTCCCTGATAAATAATATAAAGAAAACACCAAGAAATTAGCAGGAAGGATGCTAGAGAGTCTTTAAAGAGTCAGTGACATTTAAACTCATACTTGAGGGTAAACAAATATGGTGTTGATGGATCATATTTATACACTTTCAGAAACTATTTTTAGAAAATATTAACAAAATTACCTTTCAAGCAATATATCATTTAAGATGTACAGTTTTATTATGTATGTCTTAAGTAGGATGTAAAATTTTTCCCATCTCTGTAATTTCACTGCCAGTGAGATATTTATAAAGCTATTCCACTGAACAATCTGGGGCCCTCTGAGCTAAAAAGACCTGACTGAGAAACCGTCTTACTCAGTGTAGGTGAAGACGAAGAGCCAGTTCCACTTAATTCTTAGGAATCAGATGAAACGCCAAGGCCTTCAGGAAGATAGAAGAAGAGGAGGGAAGCTACCACCTTGTGCTAGCAGAAAGAGCAAGGAACGAAGGGAAAATCTCCCTGCTAGGAAAGCAGAGGTTGAAAATTCCATGAATAATTTCTAGATATAATGGAAAATAATAATCCTTTAAAATTTAATGACATTCATTCTGAAATAAGTTATAATTCTAAGTGGTGTAATTTCTTCTCTAAAAGACTATTTGCAGGAAATGAGCTGGACACTTCATTTGTATTTCTATTAGCGCATTTTTTCCTTTCATTTTGTCATCAAATATTTATTGATTTTCTGATAGTATATGGTTTTCACTTCCTTCCACTTGCTTTGCCTCGTTCCTTCTAGAGCATTTTAGCCGGGCTGCTTTAATAAAATCCTATGGACTGGGTTGCTTACAGGACAGATTTGTACCCATCTGAGTTCTGAATGTTACAAAGCTCCAGGCCAAGCGCTGTCCACAGAATGAGCTCCCTTCTGGAGAAGGCCAGCTTACTTGTTTGCAGATGATGGTACGTTCATGGCCGGAGAGAGAGAGATGGAGGGAGGGAGGGAGGCAGGCTATGATGCCATTACAGATATATATTATACTGATCCCGTTCCTGAACAGTTTCCTTGTGTGACCTGATTACCTCCAAGGCTCCACCTCCAGCTACATCACACTGGGGCTTAGAACGTCAGCAGGGCGATCTATGGGGACACAGACATTCAGTCCATAGGAGGCATAGCTGAAGTGTGTGGGAACAGGAGTTTCCGTGAGCGCTGTTGCCCCACGCTGCCCAGTTCATCTTCCATCGGGAAGCGCCTTGCCTGGGAAGCCCGGCCTAACCTGGAAGATTTGGAAGCGCAGCCTTGGTTTTCAGTCAGGCACAACACTGCATGTTCTACCAAGAAGGGTGACGTGACGGGACTCTGAGGGAAGAGCGGATTGAAAGGCCGTTTCTTTAGATTTGCATTGATAACTTGCTATTTGGTGAATGGAACGTTCTATTTGTTCCAGATTAGTGGGCTGATGTAGAGAACAATGTTGCAGGAGGTAGTTTCTCCTCTTAATTACGAACCTGGACACCCCAGTATGCATCAGCAGAGCTGCACCTCGGTGGATCTTAGTGTTGTGTGAGCAAATTGCACCGCACCTTCCCAGCCGACCGCTGTTCTAAGGACCTCGGGGGCTCAACCGGCTGCGCTTGCCTGTGAGGGGTGCCGAGACTAACAGGCTTGCAGCTCGAGGCCACTCTGAATGAGCGGTGGCGCAAAGCCCAGAGCCAAGGCCCTTAGCTCCCACTCAGATGTCTTCTCTATACACAATATAAATGAATAATTTTTCAAAATATTAGATGCCTTAACTATTGAAAACAAAAATAAACCTCACCCTGAACATGGAGAGCGCTCACTCAAGTGAGGAGTGCTGCCCCCGGGACAGTAGCATGCTGGCCAGTGGATAAGCTTCGTATTTTCAGTTGAGCAGATTAATGTTTTAGTATAAAGCAATTTAAATTTGTTTTAATATTTTGAATTATATTTGAAAGCAAACTGATTTCTAACAGTGAAGTCCAGATATCAGCGCAGGAACTGTCTGTCACTCCTGTGTACACTCTTCTGGACTCTCTTGCTGTCTCCGCAAGCTGATTTAGTCAGCAGTTGCGATCATGTGAGATAAAGATCCGTCTGAATATTAAAAGCTGATGTGACAACAGCATTAATTTTATATGTACCTGCTTTATCCAGAACAGTCCTTACATTCCAGATAAAAGTAGATTTATCTAAATTCACTAGATTTTTGTCATATTATGTTTTAATTGTATAAAAACTGAGGTTTATAATTGATGTTCAATTTTTAGGTTTTTTACCAAAAATATAAGCTAGAAAAAGATAAGCAAGAGGAAATAGATTGACTAAAAACAGGCAGTCTCACTCTTAATTTTAATTTGAGGCCCTGTGGCTCTCTAGCCTGTCCTGTCCTGACCCACCCCCACGCCCTGGCCAGTGGATAGGAACGTGCAGACAGCCCAGTAAACACACACGTCTGTTCATAGTGCCATGGTTGGAGAGCAAGCAGCTCCCTTTGAGATACTCCACCAAGGGGACACTGTGGCTGCTCTTCACATTTGGACTGAGGTACACATCTCTGATGCCGTACTTCAAACAAGGTGCTTAATGTTTATCTCAACGTTTGGCATTTAGTGATATTTTCACATAATTTCTGCCCTGTACTGCATTTTAAAGTGATTTTGTTAAAGATAGGAATAATCAGTAGCCTATTTTTATTTCTCCATATTTCAGTAAATTGGCATCATTCTCTAAATTAGTTATGTCATAAAAATTGTTATAAAGAAAGCCAACCACTACAAAACCAATGGCACAATACCTAAGTATTAAAATGTCGGAGGGAGTTCTGAACTGAAGTGAGTTTTGTAAATGACCTTGAATGCTTTAGAAAAGAAAAGGATAGAGAAATCAGCTGGTCATGGATAGATCATGTCTCAATCCAATTTAGGGAGCATTTTCAGAAGTCATAAAAGAGAGCCAACTTCAATCAAATACGTGAAAACTAAACCTTTTAAGACAACTTTGTCAAAATTGGAAAATCAACTTACACTGTGTCAACCGTCATTGACTGTACCACCTGCACTACCCGGTTTCCGCCCTGACAGCATGAACCCGTGAGAGCCAGGACAGAGAGCCAGACGCCTGCTTCTCTAGGCAGTCAGGTCGTCCGAAGGACGCGGTAGGAACGCTGGCCGAGGCTGCAGGGGCTTGAGGCTCTTGGGCACTGCTTTTAGAACCACCATGGAAGCCGCATAGTCATGAACTACAGATCTAATTTTCTCAAAATATTTGTAGGAGACACATTGTAAAGGCAGGGTTTAATTCTATGCCGTGCCCTCAATTTAACTTGCCCAGGGAATTAAACACTTACATCATTCTGCATTGAGGCATAACTAAATAAAATTTCTTTGATATTTCAGAAAATACAATAAAATTGGGGTTTTGAATAATTTAATAAATGGATCCATGTGGTACCCAAATCTAAGTGATTCAAATGTTTTCTTTCCACTCAGCACTGGACAGTCACAGAAGGCGTGTACACACAGGTGTGGCTCAGTTCCTAGACTGTAACATTGTACACGTCTTGGGGAGCCACCGCGTCTAATAACACAGATAAACTTGGCTTTTAAAATAAGACCTTTTTCTCTTATTGAATATATTAACTTCATAGTCTTCTAGGGTCAGAGAATGCAAAGAAATTTCAATTTTAAGATATATACTCAATACTGAATTGTAACAAACTCCTAATAAGAGAAAACCAAACCCTTTTTCTAGCTATAAGTGACCCTGGAAAAGAAATGTCTCCACCATTTTACATACAAGCTAAAAAAGCAATGATGAATTTGAGAAGTGCAAAATTATTAAAGAAAAGTAATCAAACTTTGAAATCTAACCCAAAGTATATAGGTTCTGCAGAACATAGCTTGTGTAATAGCCAGTAAAATTCTTGAAGTCTTTATTTTGATTCATTTGTCTCTTTCTTAATCTTCTTTTTGCCAGTTAGATACCATTATCTTAATATTCTTTTAATTTTGCTGTAATTATTTTAATATCTTTGAGATTTCTATATTTTTGTTGGAGCACTCTACTGAAAGCAGCCACAAAGCAGAGTGAACTGATTTATGTTTTGTTAATTCTAAACTTTTTAAGTCGTTTCTTTTCGGATCTGAATTTTACAGTGTGCTGTTTACTGTTTTGTTTGTTTATTTGCTTTGCTTCATTAGCCTTTTATGTCACCCCGGTACCCTGGAGGTCCCCGGCCCCCGCTGAGGATACCTAATCAGGTAAGCGCTCTCTACTTATTCTTTTCTTTAACAGGTAAAGATCTTGAAAGTACTACAGGTATCTTTTATTCTATAAAAATATAAAATTAGCCGGGCGTGGTGGTGCACCCTGTAATCCGAGCACCAGAGAGGCTAGCAAGGCTGGCCTGGGGTACACAGGGAGACCCTGTCATAACGAGTAACAGAGAGTACAGCTCCTTTCTCTAACCCACACATGCCACCCCTAGCACTGACTAACATAGCCCCAGAAAGCACACTGTGCTGCGGGCTGCCTACTGCAGAGCTGTCTCAGGAACAGCGCCATGGGGCGCAGCCTCACCCCCCCATTTGCTGCTGTCTGGGGCTACTTTTCCTCTGTGACTCAGGCCTGTGTGGTTTTGACAGAAACCATACATGGCTCGGAGCTGCAGCTATCAGAAACAGTAAAGGAAAGAGGACTTCAATATGGTCCAAGTCTTCACGGAATAACTTTGTCAACCCTTGCAGTCTACCTTATCCTTTAAGTGTGTTCTAAAGATGTATGTACTTTTGGTAAATGCTGATTATTTTCCCATTACAAGATGATAATGAGATTTGTCTATGAATATAGTTTGCTTTAGTTTTATATACTGTAGCTTCGTATCGTGGCTCTGGTGTCCAAGTAAATTCTGTCTAGTTACGATGGTGCGTCAGGCAATCAATTAGCCGCTCCTAGAAGAGTTTGTTACATTAATAAATAGCAGTGAGTCTCCCAACTTTCTTAATCATAAGCATTCTGAAGTTTCATGGCGCTTTGTTCTCAGAGGTTTTTATAAATCAACATCATAATTATGCCTTTGCCAGAGAGAGTGAGCCACAGTTTGTGCTTGCGAGTTCGTTCCAGGGTGCAGGCGGCACGCGCGCATCTGCTTGCAACAGCGGATCAAAAATACCGTTTAAATCTAAAACTTTATTATGATAAAAGACACACTGCCAGTAATTCCCCTTCAAGCGTACTCCCCTCATTCTGAACACACTCATTCATTTTCCTTGCCGCTTTCTGAAGCAGGCCTGGACCTCGGTCCCGAGTGTCTGTCCAGAGCGAAGACCAGCTCGAAAGGCCGCGCCGCGCCCGCGGCCACTTTCCTCGCTGGCCGGGCAGCCGAGGGTCCTGGCTCTTCCCCAGAGTCAAAATGACCAAGAAAAGAAAATGTTTTGAATCGATTCTAAACATCCATCAGCTAGGACAGCGCAAGTAAAGACCCTGACGACAAGGGACGCCAGACTGCCCCGGAAGCCGCAGCCGGACCGCGCGCTGGGGGCTTGATGGGGCTCGGCGCGGTGACTCCTGCTGTCATGGCTTCCTAGGAAATGTTTTAAAATTTACACCATGTTTTTTAATCACACCTCGCACATGGAAGTTTCTCTCATGGAGAATCTTTGAAAGGGGCTGAGATGACATCAAATAGGGGATTGTTAGGAACAGGAAGGAGTAAGGTTAGGGGAGAGGGCACGCGGGAGGGTGATGGCTCGAAAGCCTTCCAAGGAAGCGCACAGCGCTGCCAAGAGGAAGCTCACTCATCCGTGCAATATGCACTAATAAAAATTTAAAATTATTTTTAGAATAAGGAACTAAACACTGAATTGTGGGATTATTTATTTCAAGTTGTCTTTTCACTTTCTCTAGTTCTCTTATTTCTGTACCTCAGAATTGTCCCAACTGCCAAGGCAGCCTTGTTACCACAGTCCATTCTTTTTTGCATTTTTATTCTCATTTCTGCTTCCTTCTTTACCAAACATGGAACAGCAAAGTGGCAGTTACTAGCGCACATGCTAGCTGCAGGGCTCGGGGCTCCTCTCCACTCTTCCTGCAGTTCTGCTGTCTTTGAAGCATCCCACCCTCGCTGCTCTTTGCTGCTTCTGCCGCACAGCAGTGCGGGCCAGCACCCACGTCCACCCCTGGGGGAGACATTACGCAGAAACCATGCCGGGTCGCCTTGCGGTGCGAGCTTGCTCGCAGTGGCAGGAGCACTGTCTGGTTACAGATCGAGTTGGCTGGCGCAGGCTGGGCCAGGGCCTGGGAGCAACGGGGTGGGAAGCTCACAGCACCGCTGTGCCACCCTAGAGGAGCCGTGTTGTCTCCATGGGTGACCCTGTGTGTGTCGGCAGTCAGATCCACTTAGATAGGCGCCTGTCTTTAAAATTTCACCGGCATAAAGGATAAGAATTTACAACTTTCACTGGAGTCTTCATGATGTTTCCCACACACCAGCTATGCGCGTTGCACGCCGCATAGTTCCAGGGAAATGGGCGAGCCCTGCGTGAGGGTATTGGCAGACCGGTCTACCCTGCGTTCCGCAGCAGTACTGAAGACGCGGCTGCACTGCGGGGCTGCGCTCCTCCAACACCGTGCAAGGGTATGCCGCGCAGAGAGCACATGCGGTCTCTATCCACCGACTGTTAGATGCACGCTTTTAGGAGGAGCTCAGGGCTAGGAGGTAAAACTGTGAATGTGGGTTATTTGAAATGTTTTGAATTAGTAATGTTGTTGGTGTTTTCAAAGAAGCAATTACAAAGCCGAAGGTAATGGTTGTTGCATAGGCTCCCTTTCCTCAAGAATGCTTAAGATTTCACCGAAGTATATTTTTAAAAATTGCATTCTTCTGTGAATGGTTCTGCTTGGTCCATCTCTCTGCCCCTGAACACACATGGATACTTAGTGTAGCCTCAGCGTTCAAACATGTGTTGTCCAGGGAACCTACATTTATGCTATTTACACTTATACTAATTTATAAAATTATCATTTCAGTAAGTTAAATAATAGTATTTAAGGAAAACAATCCTATTTAGAAGCATGACTTTTTCAAATAAAAACATCTGATTTCATAATTTAGTCATGAAAGTAGAATTGGCATGGATTTTTGATTCATTGAAATGATGTTCATAAAAACAAAAATATTAAGATATTTTAAATTTAGGTTTCATTTAAATTGATCATGCCCTAATGATGTTTCCTTACTAGATCGTATCTAAGAAAAACAGGGAAACACTGGCCGCTTTAGTGGTCCATCTATACTAGTCATCTAGAATGTTTGAAAGCTATCTCTTTAATAAAACTTTCACAACTTAGTAACTATTAGGCTATAGATTTTAAGTTTCTCTGAGATGTTTTATGGTTCTAAACTGAATCCATAATGGTTGATACTGTCTGTATGTTTATAAGACTGGGTGTTAGGAAAGTAGTGTGACATCATTGTGCCGAAAAATATAGGAACAGGCACTTGTGTCCACAGTGATGAAAAGAAAGCCCAATTACAGAAGTCTACAATGTAGCAGAGAATAACCATAAGGCAAGAGATGTGTGCCACATGGAAATCAAGCCAACAAACGCGTTCTAGCAGCTTCACGCTGAAGTTGGCCAGCCCTCAGAAGAGGCCGCTCGGTGCATGGGAAGAATGTTTCTTTATCCTTCTCAGGGTAAAATGTCAAATCAGAGGGCTTCATGCTATTTACTGAACATTATATCAAGGAACTGAGACAGTCAGAAGTACAGTGCTGTTGACAAGAGGAGAGGCACTTGATACATTGATTCTGTGGGATTTTGAAAATTTATACTCTATTTTTCACCATTCCTGTAACATCAACAGATCTTTGAATTAAGAAAATACAATTCAACACTGCTGTCCATTCTATGTGCTAACAATGAGCTTGGTATTCTGTAAACATGCTACGTCTGTCCCTCCTGCTTTACCTAACAGACCTGTCAAGTAATGAGTGAGTGGCTGGGACTCATGTTGTACATAAATCCTGAAATATCATGCAGATATTAAAAGGAATAACAGAACTAAATCTAGTGATACACTAAAGAACTTATGTCCCCAAATATAAAAAAAGAAAGCACAAAACATGCAAGCATGTCACCTTCCCCACGTAGAAATAAGGCCCAGGCAGAGAATTGATGTCATTCATGTGCCCCTCCACACAGTCATACTCATTTGCCAACAAAAAGTAGGGACTCTATCTTTTATTTGTGGGTGGCAGGATTGTAAGTAATTCTACTCTATAAAATTTTTAGTATTTTAAAAATTTACTTCAAGCAGGTATTACCTGTGTGATTAGAAAGAGATGTTGAATTGTATACATGGATAAGCAAAGTATAAATATTTTATTCTTCTGGTAATTTAATATATAGGGTTATCCCTTATTAATATTTAATGGAAAATTCCTATATAGTAAGATAAAAATATAATAGCTGTTAAGGATAACAAATTGTAAGACGACTCCATGACTTTTCAAATGGGGAAAAATATCAGCAGGCCCTGGAATGGATGAGAAGTTGCTGGGACACTCGCTTATATACAGTGAATGTATTGTAGCCCTGTAACCAAGATCTGCATTTCAAACAAACTACACACATAGCTTCAATCATGTGTTCTTCTTCAAGATAAACACTTCTAAGCATAGCCTTTACCAGCACTTTCTGTCTTTGTACAATTTTCACATGTAGAATTCGGCTATATCCATATGAAGTATGAGAAAGATTTTAGCTACAAAAAAAGAAACTTGTTGAATTGAAAGAATATGAGTCAGCTGCACTTATAAGGAGGGTGTGAGAATCTCTAACTTAACAGATAGCCTATTTAAAACAAATTAGTGGTCAATAACGAAAAGCAGAATGTAACTTCCTTGACCAAAACAAAATATTAATATCTCCTTGCTTGATAATTATACATGTTAATTATTATTTGAAGTCCAATGACACTGCACTAAAAGCAAATTATTTCCTTATGACTTTGAATTTTGAGTTGATCCTGGGAGGGGTGTGTGTGTGTGTGTGTGTGTGTGTGTGTGTGTGAGAGAGAGAGAGAGAGAGAGAGAGAGAGAGAGAGAGAGAGAGAGAGTTTTCTGCCATATAGCACAACAGAAGTTTAAAACTTCAAAATGTCTGCCAAAGGAAGTTCCTTCTCTTTCCACACCAGGAAAGCTGACGGTGAACCTGCCCTACTCAGTTCACGTCCTGCTTGTGTGGAGGTTTGTGACAGTGTTTAATTCCTCTGCAGAGTGGGCCGCATGGTTGTCATCATTTATTGCAGATGCCTTCCTTTCCATATAAGTCAGTGCAAAGCACACGTCGCCGCTCATTTCCAGGCTCTACGAAACCTCTCTCAGAATTGAAGTGCATAGTTTTGCAGCTCACCACGTAGGAGGCACCATTCCCTGGGGCAAGGCAACATCAGTGGCGAAAGCCCCTTGGCTTGCAGAGCCACATGGCCCCCAGAGCCCTCTGTGCCTGGTGCAGCCACACGGAGTGCCTTTGGTCTCTCAAGCACTTGACACTTGATGAGTGTGTCTGAGGAGCTGTATTTTTAACTTTACTGATTTTAATTTAAATAGCCATATGTGGCAAAGGTCTATTCTATTTCATGTCACAGACACAGCAGTAAAAATATAGAAGAAAAGAAACATGTATCAATGGGCAACTTGTGCTGTATGGACAAACAGCTTCCTACACTGAACATAACTTTCTCCATTTTAATATTTTTTCTCTAGATCTCGCCTTTGTACAAAAAATAGAACATAGTGGTATTGTTAAAGGCCCTGAGTGTGTGAGCCCCTCGGTCATGTACACCTCCCCACAGGCTGCCTGTGGGGATCTGCTTTTCTTACTATAAGAGTGGGGGTGCAGATGTTTCTGAAGTCCTTCCTAGTTCTTTATTATCGAAGTCCACTTCATTCCATGTAATTAGAGGGCCCATTAATTGCTGAGAGGTCAAAATCACTAACTGAAAAAGAAAAACAAAAACAGGGCCAGGGAGATGGCTCGGTGGAATAAGCGCTTCCCTGGCAAGCGCAAGGGCCTGAGTTCAGTCCCCAGATCGCTAACTGAACTAAGTCTCGGATATGCTGGGATTCACAGCTTCTGTCATCAGTGGGCACTGGGTGCGCATCTGCACCAGACCTCGACTTCCGGCAGGGACTCTCGGTGTGCGTCCTGATACACGCCGTTGTCAGCTGAAGAGCGCTCTATGAACCAGCAGCTCTTCAAGTAATCATTTTCTTGTGATAAAATATTGTATTATTTCATTTATTTTAAAGCCTACACATTAAGGCTTCTCAGAACTTTTAGGCAGGTTGATGCGAATCCAAGCCCTGACTCTGCTCACTAATACTAGTATCTAGCTATGGGCAAAGTAACAAATAGCTAGTGTATTAAACTTTGATCTCTTATCATCAAAAGAATTAACAGTAGTCCAACAGCATTGCTGTGAGCACTGATTAATGAAATAGTAAGTACAAAGACTTTAGAATGATCCCTGTCGCAGACACAAGGCCCGTGGTGCATGTGTTGTGCAGTCTGTCTCTTCATCCTCAGAATTACTTGGCACTAGTTTTTTACCAGAGTGAAGACCTTCTACAGAAAGAACATCATGTGCCAACGTGCCGACTAGCTAGACAAGACTGAGTGGAATACATCTAACATGTTAAAATGTAGAAATCATCGCAAGCACAAGATGCATACATTTATTTTTTCTGGTTGTTAGGGGTTTAAAGGATGAGATGATTATACTCCTATTGATGTATAAAGATTTCATTTAGCTACCAAAGGAATCATAAGAAGTGTTTTCAAAGTTGAACATTTGGCTTATACTAAAATACAAATATTGATAACTCAATAATAAAATTTAGATATACTCATTTTGAAAGACTGCTTGACATTAAGATTTCTGCAAGATTATGCTGTACTTTTTAAGTGATGAGTAGAAATGAAAAGATTTGTCAACTGTCCTGATAATCTTAAACTAAGCTAGAAAAAGAAAAATTTTGAAGAAAATGGTTACTAGCATGAAACCCCTGGCCTCCAGAGGGAGTTGGAGATCGAGTACAAGTCTGGGGTGTGTAGCTGTGAGCTCTAAGCAGTTTAGAAGGCCAAGGACTTTCGGTTCACAGTTGCAGGTGCTGTTGATAGGCCATGTAATTTCCATCTTGCTTTCATCATAACTGAAGATAAGTTTGGCCACTTTCCTTCTTGAAACTCTCCTCATGTTTTGAGGAAATAATAGTTTTGGTCCCCTTCCTACTTTCAGCTCTGTTCTTTCCTACCCTTTTGCTATTTTTAAAGAATTAAATTTTTCCTTCCTCCTTTTCATTCTTTGGCGCTTATTCCATGGCTATGACTTTATCACTAGTGATGATTAAAGTTATCCAATCTAAATCCTATTCCTTCTGTCCCTTCAGTAAGCCTGTGTTACTGCACCCTCAGTGTGGAGCGGCCCCTGCTTTCACCGAGCTTACTGTAGTTGCATTCCAGACTGAGGAAGCAGCCTTGACAGTACGCAGGCCTAGGGAAGCAGGGAGTGAGACCCTCTGTGCCCGCTCTACTCACTAGGACATCCGGGGGCTACGCAGTGCTCCACAGAGATGGCAAGAGGGACCAGTGTACTTGGGACACCGTTAGATCAGCCAGATAAGTGCACTGATTTAGCTTAGCAAGAAAATGTTTTGAAAATAATGAAAGCCAGGTTCCTGCTTTTGTATATTTACAAACCTAGAAAGGAAAAAAGCAAAAAATAATTCCGAAGTATCAGATTTGAATTGGAGATGTTGAATGTATAATGTGCATGTACTGTACACGAGTAGATGTACAGTTCACCACAGACCTGCACAGGTGTGCGTGTGTGTGGTGCGTGTGTTTGTGCATGTTTATATACGCTCGTGTAGATTGTCGAGCACACTGCTTACTGAGTTCCCAAGCAGTGCAGGAGGCTCCGATGCACAGGTCTTGGTGCCTCAGGGCTGTCCTGGAAGGAATCCAAGTCCTCCTGAGAAAGAGCTGCTTCCAGGGCTGGGCCAGAAAAAGTGTGAGTGAACCTGGGAGATTTTATGGTGGAAGAGAAGAAGAAAAATGTTTCGGAAATGATTAGGATATGTGAAAAAGACCATGAGCTAGCTTGAGGTCTGCCCACTCACCAGGCCTGGAATGATTTTCATGTTGAAATAAATAAGGTCAACAGATTACAACCCATTGAATAAAAAATCCAAGAGCAAGTGAGAAAGAGGCCATGGCCATGGCAGATAAAAGAGTGGTGAGGAATATGCTTTAAAGTCGAAGAATAGCTGGAATAAATGTCATCAGTGACAGAGCGAGCTCTCCACGTAGAACCAGCAAATAGCAGCACAGTGGAGTGGTACCCACTGAGTGGTCTGAGGAGCAGGCGTCCCTGGGGGTGGGCCCTGGAGGACAGCACCCAGTCAGGGCTGGGTGTTCGGCTGCAGTGCGGTCTGCACCCAGGCGGGAGACATCAGAGTCATCCTCCGCAACACAAGGCTTCTTTGCTACAAAGCTGGTGAAGGCACAGTAAATAAGAGACACAGAAGGGAACACTCAGAACTGTGTGAGGACTGAATGCAACATACATTCCATGACATTCTGATACCAAAACCAAAAAGGAAGGATTGCTGGAGAAGCAGCGAAACTCAAATTGTGTCGATGTTGTGTTGGAAACGTTGCAGGTGGTGTGGGAGAGCTCCCCACGGAGGGAGTGGAGCCCGAGGCACGGACTGCGCCTGCAGCTCACCCAGAGTAGTTCAGATTTATAATAGGCTCCTCCTTCCTCCTGGGTGGAGAAGACCAAGGTGGGGAAGAAAGGCCGCTGAGGCGGCTGTGAAATAGTAATTGCTGGGAGAGGTGAGTCAGGTATATGAGGCTTCTCTGTACTTACTTTTCCTGCATTTTTCTGTAGGCTTGAAATTTATTTTTAAATGTAAACATATATAAGGAGGACTGGGGCTTTAGGGAAAACGGTTAGGTGGAAAGTGACCCCAAACTGACACAAGTGAGCAAGGATGGCCACGTAAGTGTGTGTGAGCTCCAGAGAAGAGAACTCCAGGAACAGGCACTCGTGTGCTTGGAGCAGGTAGACTTACGGAGGTGGGGCTTGGGCTCAGTGGCCTAGTTCACATGATCCCGGGGCCAAAAAATTCTAAAACTGCTTTGAGGAATTACACTTTCTGCGGCATCCAAAGTGACAACAATTAAGGAAACTGACTGATCTGGGTGTCCACGGCATCACCATTAAGCATCTATTGAAATATGTCACTAGGTAAGACTTTGCTCCTTTCGTTAGTGAATCCTCGTAAGACTCACCACTACTTCTTGGGATGTGCGTGCGCGTGCGCAGATGGTCGTGGGCGCGGCGGGTGGCGTCCCCTAACCCAGCTCTGGGCGCCTCACGCTGTGCCGCGGGTGGCTCTGTCTGGAGCCCACAAAGCCAAGCCTCGGCCGGCCACAGCCATCTCTTCAGTGCTGGTTCCCTTTCTCCATACGGCCGCCAAGTGGTTTGAACTCCATTGATAACATTTTTCTAGTTTCTTAGAAAAAAGTGTAAAAAATATTCATTGATCTCTTGGCCATCGAAAGAGTGAAATACTTTTTTTTCAAGATTCATTTTTAAGAGGCAAAGTCAGTTATTTCAGCATCCTTAGCAAATTTGACTTGAGGAAGAAATTCCAATGTTTTGTGTGGACTTTTTTCCCAAAAATACTTTATCTGCCACCAAGTTAGGCAAAGAATCTTTTTGAAAGCCCAAGAAATTATGCGAAGCATACAGAACTGTAAAATGTATAAATCAACGTGAAATGCAGGAATCTTGAGACGCTGCTGGTTGCCTCTGGTCGCGGCCCGTCCCGCCTACTCACGGTCTGCTTCTCTCTTCTGCGACCCGCAGGCGCTCGGCGGCGTCCCGGGAAGCCAGCCCCTGCTCGCCAGCGGCATGGACCCCACGCGACAGCAAGGTGACCGCCCGCCCGCGCGCGCCGCGGCTCCCTGGGGAGCGGGAGCCTGCGCGGGGCTCGACCTGCCGCCGCCCCGGAGAGGAGCAGGCTGCAGGCTCCGCCGGCGGAGGGTGCACGCCGCAGGGTGCTCGGGGCGTGCAGAGGCGGACCGCGCGAGCGTCCCAAGCTCCGTGTTTTAACTAGTCACTGCTAAAACTCTGCGTATGACTTCTACCAAGCGGGCTCCTCCAGCCCTGGGGTCTCCCGTGCCCCTCCTGCGGGTGACGCGAGCCCCGCGGCCAGGGGCACTGCTCTCTGTATCCTCCAAGGAGCAAGGGGCGCGCCCGTAGTGCGCCTGCGCAGAGCCTACAGAGGGGAGGGGGCGCGGGCCCACCGAGAGGGCGGGGCCCACGGGGGGGCGGGGAGAAGGAAACTGCCCAGGTGGGGGGGGGGTTGTAGGTCGGGGAGGGGAACCGGCCCCCCTACACTCTGTGCCAGGCTTATGTGCTTATCCCTTGCAGGACACCCGAATATGGCTGGGCCGATGCAGAGAATGACTCCCCCGCGAGGGATGGTGCCCTTGGGACCGCAGGTGAGCCTTCAAAGCGGCCGGCCTCTGCGAGCGAGCGCGCGCTGCTACCTGTAGGGTGCGCTGCAGTCTGCGCATGCGCGGGCCTGAGCGCGGGGTCCGCCTGCGTAGCTGTAGGTCTGGCCCAGCCCGTTGCGCGTGCGCCCCCCCTCCCGCCCCCGCGCAGTTTTGATATACATTGTTAGGATTCTGAAAATATAGTATTTGCAACATTTGCAAATTAACGAACTCTTAACAAATTACCATCATATTTGCTTTAGTTTATTTGTGAAAACTATAAAACTACATTTTAGTATAGCATAGATAACTATTACACGTTTTGTTAGCAGTGTTAATGAAGTGGTTCAGTTAAATAAAACCAGTTAATTGAAAATATTAAGTAGAATGAGCATAGAATATATTTCTATAAATCTTTTTAAAAATACTATTGAAAATTTATTCCATGCAACCGTATTTCTTCCTAAACTAGGAAAGCAATAGAGAACGATTTAGAACTGAAGATTAAAAATGTGGCTTTCTGACTGAGGCTCGTGCTGCTGCTGCGCCAGCCGTCGCATGTAACCCGCCTTTTACTGTCAGCATTTCCCCAAAAGAAAACATTGAGGCTAAACCTGGCCTAACTCGTGATAATGTTTTGAGCATGCTATTCCAGGATATCATTTGTTTAGCTAAAACATTGTCTTGTCTCTTAAAAAATTTAAGGTAGGAATTAATTTTATTACATTGTACTTTAAAGAAAATGAATCCAGAATCCAAAATTTTAAATTTTTTACATTCTGAGTAAGAAGTTAGTGTGTCTTAAAGCTTGCATGAATAAGAATTTGTTAGTGACTATTTTGGTAATTTGTTTCATGTAATTACTTTTAAAGAACTAAATTGATTTTTTATTGTCTCCCAAGTGGGGTAAAAAATTTAAGAACCTAACAGCCAAATGGTGTGACATAGATCTAGGAGCTTCTTCTAAGCCACATACATAATACAGACTCAGCAGAGACACGTATGACCGGGTTTCTCGGAGATGCTATGTCACAGGAGAAACTCACTATACAAATGTGTGACCACCCTAACTGTTCTCCTCTGTGTAATTCTTTAAGATCTTATAAAACCCTCATTTAGTGTCTACAGATTTGCCCTTTCTGTTCATATTAGGAAGGGTGGTCTTCGTTAACCAGCTATCATTAGGCAGTCCACAGCACGTGGGATTTATCAGATCCACAGAAGGCCTCATTTCTAAATGGACTTTCAGTCTTCAGTAAACTCCGCCACCACCAACGTGGCTGTGCAAAATTTAAAAGGTGTTTTCTTTTTCCCTAAAGATAGTAGATACAATTAAAGTACACGTAAAAAGTATGCTTATAATTTATCATTTTTCATTTAGTTCACTTGGTTCTTTTTAGCTCTTTAGGGTTTTATTAATCTCAAAATATTACTAGTATTAATGTTTCTACTTTAAAAACAAGAGGCTGTTTTGTGAGTCGGTTTTGCAATGTTTGAAGAGGTAACCCGTGCTTGTGTAAGCAATGTGAACATTTAAATCTCATTTGAAAATGAAGTAAAAAGCGTACTAGTACTATGCTTTTATTCTACGAATCTATGTCATAAGTAAATTAAAGCAGATGATAAAAATCCTCTCAGTTGTAATCTGTAACTGGTGAGTTTTAAGTTTATTGTATTAAATATTTTCTTACGTTTTCAAACTCAGAGGGAATAGTTTATTTGTTCCGCTTAGAGTAGTGTTACCCTTGCTATCTACTTCCATACAATATGAGAAAAATGAAGTGCTCTAGTATGAATTCACTTTAGAGACAAGAAATACCTTTAGTACATTTTTTAACTCAACGTATGCAAAGTAAAAAAGGCTAAAGAAAATCACTTATACATAGAACGTATAACACTTAAATGAAAACAGGAGGCTTTCGTGTGAGTGGTGGGTATAGTAGCAAGCAAAGCGAAGTCATTGGAAGTGAGGGAATCTTGTGACATACACACTTCCCAGCCACGTGGAACACATGCCCTGTGAGCTGTGGCGTCTGCAGGAAAGGTCGGCTGTGTCCCTTGGAAAGGGCTCAGCTCGCACAGCAGACCTCTGGCTGCACACAGGTCCCAAGGGCAAGGTCTCCCGTGGCACCCCCGTTCCGTGGCAGAAACCCCAGCGCACTGTCTCTGGCCTTCGCGCAGGCACAGTGTTCTCCTCTCTTTTCATAGGCACTGCTTCTGTAAGGCTGTTTTTTAGCTTACAATCAGTGTGGTGAAGGGAAGCAGTAGCTAGCTGATAGAACAACCGAAGTCCCAAACAAAGGCACATACTTGATTTTTGAATCATGCTGATGTAGGCAAAGTGCACATGTGGAATACAGCAGGTGTGTGATTAGCACTTTCCCACATAAATGAAGAGATCAAAGTCTCCCCCATATCCCCAGTGGGGTAAAAAAATTAATTAGCTACTTAGCTCCAGAACTGATATAGTAAAAGTACATGACCTTAAATTGATATCAGTATCCTCCGAATGGAAAAGAAAAGAATCTGTGTGATCAAGATAAAAGGCCTGATGACATTCTTGCAATCATTTTTCTGCTGGCTTTAATAGATACCCGTAGCTAGCCTGGGTTTGTAAACTCAGCAAGGTGTCAGGTGATTTACAGAAAAATTTGGTACACGTGTATATTTCCAGTTCCATCAGAGATCTGAAGGATAAAGAATTACGATGTGTTGTGCACAGGCTGCAGGACCCCACAATGAATATGACCATGTGCACTACATTCATGGATTCGTAAAAATAAAAATTGAAAAGTTACATGCAAGTAGGATTTCTACATCAGATAGTCAGGACAGACAAGTAGGGAAATGACGACATACGTGAGAGGCGCTTCTTTTATCTGCAAATGCCTTTCACCTAGTAATGGATTTTCTGTTTTCACATTTAACATGGTATTAGAATTCAGTGCAGTACAAGAAAAACTTCCTAGAAATTAAACTGCCCAATCATGGAAAGACATTTTATAGCCCTTCTAAGCAGAGCCCACACCGCCGTTCTTCAGGAATGCTGCACTGGAAGCGAGCGTAGACCAGACGGCTTGCGCAGTGCCATCGCCTTCCAAACGCAGTGGCTCTAAGTTAGCTCTTCCCAGTCTGCCTTTGCTGGAAAGCAGTTGTTATTCTTTCTTTTCTCCCTAATTTCTTTTTGCTTTAGATGATTCACAAAATGAAAATGTTTTCTAAATCTATCAAGTATGTACTGCTTTGAACAATCTCTTGTTGACTGACAAGTCAGTTTAACTAGGCAGTCATTTACTGAAGTCCTACTATGAGCCAAACATTGTACTTGAGCATTAAGTATGTAAAGATGCACAACATAAATACCCTGTCGTCAAGATGCTGAGCCTTGGCAGGATGCGCAGGTCGGTGTGAGCTGCCTCACCGTAGCAGAGGTGTAGAAAGGACATGGATGTGCTCTTCACGAAACAGCCACAGCGTCACTACATGAGCAAGGAAATCTGTTCATGTTGAGGGCTCCTTGGAAGCCAAGGTGAAGGGGACTCGCTTAAGGCACATTAGCAAGGGTAGGAGAGGCTTGGCAGCTACAGTGTTAACCAAAAGGACAAGCAGTGTGATAGATGTTTTATATTTTGTCCTTCTATCAGGAAGATAATAGTATCACTTTGTAGATAAGGACACTAAAATTGAGTGGTCGCTGGGAAAAAACACTGGCCGAAGATCACACATAAAGAAAAGAGGGCTGGGAGACTCAGAGCTATCGGGCAGAGATTCAAAGCGATACATTTCTGTGTCCAAAGCTGTAAAGAAGAGCAGTGTCTTCCTTGATAAGATAAAACACAGGTCTTCTGAGACTAAAAAGTAAGGGAGGATGTTCTTCGGAAAGACTTCTGGTTTAATTTGCCGCTCCTGTTTCGATTGCAGTGAGGAGCACTCATCCCAGAAGCCCTTGCTAGTACTGCTGGCATCACCATGCGTGATCCAGAAAGTAAGGGGAGTAGCCATCCTTTTGGCCATTGGCTCCGTGTGGATGGAAGCACCCCTGCGTCCCTTGGGGCCTACGCAGGATTGAATAAGACTTCCTTAAAGTAAAAGCAAGTGAGAGTAGCACGCAGCTAAGAGATTCCACGTAGTGGGTCTTTCTGGGGTTAATAGACCTTTTCCTGTTGCTTTATGTCCTTGTCATCTTGGCATCTACTATGAAAGAAAAGCCAAGGAAGATGAGTTGCATGAGGATGAAAGCATACTGTGTGCTTCTGAACTTGCAGAAACCCAGTAGGCCAGAGAATGCTGTTGGGAAGAGAACAAAGATGGAAACTGGAGATGAGGGCAGAGAAGACAGCTAGGGCCAAGCTGGGAGTGACCACAGCCACACTGCTGGAGCTCAGACTCCTTGGCTGGGGGCTGGTCCGGAGAGCTGCAGGAGGGTAGCCTCTCAGGAGTACCGAGAATGGAGGAGGAGCGAGAGGCGAGGTAGAGCAGCAGGCCCAGGATCTGCAGAGCTGAGTGCCGAAGCACTCTTTCGAGAGCTCTTCTCAGGTGGAAGTGGGAGACTGCTGTCCAGCTGAATGCAGAGCCTGAAGAAAAGGAAGAAACATGAAGGAGCTCTAGAGTGTCCTGGGCCACACTCCTGTGGGGAAGGGATTTTCTGGAGGAGACAACACTGGGTCTTTTGTCAGGAATGTTGCCAGGGAGGCCGTGTCCAGTGGAACCGAGTTCTGTGACCTTCCACATGTGAGATGTCTGGGAGCTCAGCAAAGTTCCATAATAAAGCAGAAAGGTTTGGATTCCTAATGTGTGAATAGTGCCGGATAAGATTGCATAAATGCATGGATTTATTTAAAAGAACACGGTAGAACTGGGAGGGAAGAAACATTCAAAGAATTAGCAAAATAAAAGCCAGCAAAGAAAAGCAAGAAAGAGTACACAGAAGAGTAGGAGGGAGTGTAGCATCAGAAAGCCAAGTGTGGGCATCCCCAAGTGTCAGAGCGTCCTGACTTAGTGCGAGTCACCTGTCGGCCCTTGTGGCCGCTGAGCTAAGCTAAAGTGGCATGCACGTTAAAATGCTGAAATGTTCTTCATCCTCCGACTGCACATAATAGATGTTAAATGAAGCTCATTTGGCCATATAATTCATGCATGTATGTTTGGAGCACACACTAATTTCCATGTATTTTGCATATCTGTAAGTGTTCCTGCATTTCTTTTGAATTGTGATTTTGTAAGGAGTTTATGTTCAACTTTCTTGAATTGGGTTTACTTGTTTTGTGTTCATTTTCTTCAGATTTCATATTATGGTTCTGAATCTGACAATTTCAAGCCCTTTGAATACACTTTTTTCCTCTAAAAACACAATTTTTGATTTATGAAATGTTTTATTTGAAAAAACTCACTAGTGGGTCAATGTTGGGAAATTAATAAAAATATGTTGAATATTAATCATGTAACACAATCTTGTGATCTTCCATATTCATGTAATTTTTTAAAGGCATAAACTAAAGTAATTGTTAAGCTAGAAGCTAAAATTCAGAGTGGACCCTTCAGAGGATGAATTGCACTGGCCTCATCCAGCCGGGCGTTGTGTAGGGAAATCATTAACCTGCTCTCCTTTCTTCCCCCCTCCTCTTTGGTTTTGTTTTTTTGTTTTGTGGTAGTCTGACCCTTGGTTATCATTACAGAACTATGGAGGTGCAATGAGACCCCCACTGAATGCTTTAGGTGGCCCCGGGATGCCCGGCATGAACATGTAAGCAAAGTGCTCTCTTACTCTGTACAGTAACGCGTGCTCTCTTCTTGAGTCTTCTAAGATGACACCAATTTGTGAAGCAGTTGAGCCCTCAGTCTCTGTGTAGTGTAACAGTGAACTAAACGTGAGCTGCAGGGTTCGCTGCATTTTCACAACCTAATTTCTTATGTGTTCTTTTGCAAAGCTTTAATCTTCCATTTTCAGGTGCTGCACATAATGACCGTTATGCTCTTCTTTGTACCCACTGGATAGTGTCTGGATAGCGTCTGCAGAGAATATGAAGAGATGCCGACACGGAGGCCATGACTTAGGCAGTTGCATGTTGTGGCCTCATTCCAGCAGATGCAAGTGATGCGGCAGTGAAGGTTTTAACTACATGCACGTGTCTGTCTTCGTTTTTGCTCTGGCGGGGCCGCTCTCAGCCCGGCGGGAATTCTCCCTGGAGAGCCTTGTGTACTGCAGAGCTTCCGTGGGTAGAGGACAGAAAGCGTCAGCTAAGCATGTTAGACTTTCCAGACCCTCCTGGCAGCTAACGTGATGCAGCTTGCGCGGGGCTTTCTGTGTTGCCAACTTGCCCTCAGAGTCACGCGCGTGCAGGTATTTGCCAGTGGCTTTCCCTAATTCACTAGAGGGCCATTTCCTCACGTGAGCTCACGGAAGCTTCCCAGAGGTCGTTGTTCACATGGGTGTTTTCTCAAACACAGTTTATACCAGTCCCTGCTGTAATTATTTACGGCTCAGATTGGACAGCTCTGCTGTCAGTTAGTGTCATTAAAGACATCCTTGAGATAAGTGGCTTCGATGTATGCAGGGCGTGTTTCTTGGGAAGCTTCTGAACCCACTGTCATAGGGTGCAGTTTTGCCTGAAATTGGACATGGGTTGGACACCAGCCGGACACACAACTGGCAGGAGAGGGGAAGGAGAGAGCAGGTCAGCTGTCCCCATCACGTCTTCTTACTTTTAAAATAAAAATGGGCAGATATGGTCTAACTCTGCTTGCATTTCTTAGATGCTTGCCCTTTTATTAGTGGTTGGTACAAAAAAAGAATGAGTGGTATTTTGTGCTTGTGTCTAGAACTGAAACTATCATCAATGGGGTGGAGAAATACATAAAATTTACCTGAGATTTTCACCCTCAAGGAGAGCCTATGTTAAGGAAGTTAAGTAGGCATATGATCAACCCACGATTATTACTCAGAACATGTCTAATATCCTTCCATGTGCTACCCTACATTCCAGTGGCCATGTGGCTGACTTCACATCCACCCGTTGCTGCCAGGGCAGAGAAAGGGTTATGTTCATGTGGCTGTTAAGAAACAAGTAGCTGCTTCCAGCTGGCTCCTTTCTGGTTTTCTTTTGTGTCTGTACTGATGTGTGTAGGTACGAGTACATGTAGATCTCCCAAACTACGGAAACTAGAAATGAGGCTGAAATTTTTATTCTGTTTATTTTTGTTGATATTTGGGTGTGGGCTTCTCATTTAAGTATTCCAAGATATCTTAAAAGTTTTTCAATTCTGTAATATTTTACTAGTAATATAGTTTCTGGTTCTCAAAATTTTAAGTCTTAAAGACTATAATTTCCATTATTTGCTACTATTTTCTATACATTAAAATTCTTTCAAAAATAAAAATGTAAGTCCTTACATACTTACACAATTAAATATTTTCCTCTCTAGAAGCTTCCCAAATGTGACAACTAGAGAGAGTAACTAGGATATTAATGATGGCCCCAACAAAGCAAAAATGAATTTAAAATACAAAAAAAAAAAAAAAAGAAAAAAAAAGAAAAAAACCAAAAAAACAACCCACATTCTATGTCTATGGCACTCAATAGAGTAAGCCTAATTAGAATTCACTTCATAATTTGTTATCTGTAAAACAGAGGATGTCTGTAATGGGGAAAAAAAGTGCTTCAACTAATATCAATGGCTTTCTTTAGGTCTGTTGTTGTCACTTTATCTTTTACATGTTAGCCTACTTAAAAGTTGAAATAGAAAGTGGGCAAACATCAGAATGGTATTGCCTTACCTATGTCTGTAAACTGTTTTAAAATATTTGTGTGCTGGGAGGGAGTCCAGAGAGTCATGTTTAGCTGCCTCAGACTCAGTCTGTCATTCAGCCTTATTTGCTTTGAGACTGACAGGCAGAGCTACCTGGTCCGGCCTCTGAATCAGTTGCAGTCAATACTCCACCCAACAGCACCTGTATCCTTTCCTCGACAACTAGAGCAAAATGTTGATACTTTATTGTTAAAAAATATTGGCCATCTCCAAGAGAATAATTACTTTGACATATTTAATCCCATATGTATTTTAAACTCTGGATGAATTCCAAAAAGTTCAATTAAAATTAGAAATTTATTCTCAGTGTGTCTATAATTGGTATCATATCTTCAAAGGTAAAATCCTAATATTAGTTTAAGTGATTTAAAGTAGAATTCATAAGCCATGGTTCAAATGTAAATGTTTTCAAATGTGTTATAGGTTAAATTTTCAAAGAAACTTGAATAATAGTATATTTCTAAATTAATTGGAGCTGGCGAGATACCTCAGAGGTCTAAAGTGCCTGCTTAGGCAACGTGCAGGGACCAAAGTTCGATCCCCGACACCCCCAGGGAGGGTTGAGCTGGCCACAAAAAATAAAGAAATAATTAATTAATTAATTAAATTCTCACCAATTCTCACCGAAATTGGGGTGAAGTATTAACACATTTCCATTCCAACTTTCTATACCTTGTATTTTACAGAAACTAAGGACAAAACATTTTCAAAACATCTTATTTTATACCTTCCTTATTCTGTAGTGTAATGAAGTATGTGTAGTGATTAAAATGGGTGAATTACAGAAGAAAAGAAAAATTTTCTCTTTGATGGTCATAGCTGCTTTGATTCCATCAAAGTTAGCATCTTTGCTAGGAAATGCAGACTTCTGCTAAATTGTATTTTTCTCAGTGGGGGTGGTGGCCAAAGTACCATCAAGGCCAGGGCAAGTTGGAGGCCAGCCTGGAAAATTCAGTGAGAGCTATCTCAAAATGTTAACAAGTAAAATAAATAAAATTTAAAAGGTCTGAGCTATGGTTCGTCATTTTCTGGATTCAACCCCCAGTAGTAACACAGTTTTGTAAAATTTTCATCTTTGTTTTTAATTTATACTGGCCTAATTCTATTTTAAACCATACTTACATAAAAATTTCCACTCAAAATAATGCGTATGTAGATTATTTCCTCAACAATACTGATGGCCGTAAAAGGAGAGGGTGACAGGGCTGAAGTCACTTCTGTGAGCGCTGCCCTCCGCACTTTCCCCGTAGCCAGCGCTCTCTGTGGAAAGGTCTGCGTGCCACTTCCTGTTATTACACATGCGCAACATTAAAATGGAGTCTAGTACCAAGTTATAGCATATTGGAACTAGATGAGTATTTTTAGACAACTGAAATGCATGATGAATTTTATGTTACTTCTAAAATAGTAAATTGGCCTGTAGTTTAATGTTAATTAATTGAATAAAAATTTTATTTTAACATTGAATTTAGCATGTTCATTTATTAAAGTTTTTAAATAACAATGTATTATATTTAGTACATGTTATTTATACATCTATTTATACTTATTGTCATACTGTTTCAAAATTATGAGCTCATAACATGTTATCTTTGTAAATTTTTGCTATGATATACATATTTTTTCATGTTGTCTTAACATAAATATCTTCTAGTTTCTATACTGTGTTTTATTTTACATCAAACAAATTACAAGGCCAGGCCTTACTCCAGTGATGCTTCCCTTGACGGACACACACCGTTTTATTGTACTCCACGTCCCTTAGGACATCAAATCCTGGGAGTGAAGCCCTCGTAATCCAAGCAGTGTCACTGCCCTAGACAGCAGCAGCCCTGAGACAACAGGAAGGCCCCTCACCCACTGCCATCCGCCCAGCCCTCGTGCTCCCCCTGGTCTGCAAGTCAAGTTGGCAGAGCTGTGCTGGGCCTTCTCGCAGTTCCTGGGGACAGAGCACGGGCCCTTTCCCTGAGGGAATCCCGAAATAAAACCAGAAGCCCTAACTAGTCCAAGCAAGCATGGGAACTGTGATAGCTAACTTGAACAGCTTCTTCATCTAACATTTAACACTTTAGGCTTCAGGGTTCTAGGATAAGGGGTATAGATTTTTTTTTTTTTAAATCAAACTTTTCACTATCTTAATACTTAGAAGAAAAAGGAATTCCAAGTAGTCCGAATTCTAGATCAGCTGCCCTCATCTGCTTCTCCTAAGTCAGTGTTTATTCAGGAATGCTCGGTACTACAACATGAGAATAAGACCTTGTCTTAATTAACTGACCTTTTATTTTGTTTTAAAACGTTTATGTCCTTATCAGGTATGCAACACAAAACATTCCCACCCTGAAATGAAGCAATTTATTGGCATGCATTAGCATAAATGTACTTTTTTTCCTAAGATTCTCCTCGCCACTACATCAAACTAAAATTATGAAAACAAGAAAGTGACTCCCTCACATGAAGTTATCAGTGACTCTAAATGATAAATTGGCACATAGTTATATAAAGGAACATTTGATGCGACATGGTATTTTTGAAAAGGAGGTAACTTTAAATCCCCTTTATGTCCACTCAGTTATCTGTAGCTCTAAAGGGCAGTCACTGTGGAGGTCGATGGGGACAGATAAGGTTATTCGAGTGAGATGTAGGCGGCTCTTGTATTTATGTCGCAAGTTGTAGTTTATATTTCATTTGTTACAAAAGTACCATAATGACTTAGGTACATGTATGTATTGTTATTGGTGCTTAATATATTTATGTATAAAAATAAGAAATGTTAAAACTGGCCTTACCGAAAAGGTGTTTAATTTGGGAGAAAAACTTTCATGAAATGGTACTTTTTTATTTAAGGAATAAAAAAAGCTATGAAAATATAAAGAAAATAATTTCAGTTTTGAACTAGAATTGCATAGTAACTAATTTGTAAATAATATTTTATGATTAGTTGTATATGACTTACATTAAAAGCAGTGTAAAATTTCATTTATCTTATTATTTTTAGGGGTCCAGGTGGTGGCAGACCTTGGCCAAACCCAACAAATGCCAATTCAGTGAGTATCTTTTTAATTCTTGTTTGTTTTTCACTTTGTAACATTTCACAAAAACAGAAATGAGGCCAGGGATGTGGCTCAGTGGCATGAACGTCTGCCTGGCCAGTACAAGGTCCCGTTCCGTCCCTGGCACCAAAGAAAAGAAAATGTTGTTTTGAAAACATTAGAATTCATGCATTCACTTCTTTGTTCACCCAGAAAGAAGCTTTTTATATATATTTGTAGAAAACTGTGCGTCACTTTTAGTTATTTATGTTTTACTTCAAGAGCTACTGTACACATACCGTCAATGCCAGTTGAAGAATTTGAAAAATAAAGATGAGGGCGGCGGTGCAGGTAAACTGAACTGGCCTAGTCTGAACTTCTCTGAGAGCTGTAAGAATCCCAAGGTTGCCAGATATACTCACTGACGGGAGAGAATGCCGGGTTACCATGGTGACATGTCTGTGTCCCTCCCTCTGGGTCCCAGTGTACAGGCTGTGTGCTGTAGTGACCTCACCCTCCTGCTTCTGCTTTCCTGACACTTCGGGATTTCCCTTACGCTTTTGTGGCGGTGGTTTGACTGCACAGACATTTTTCTCTCGTTAGTGTCATCTAATGTCTGCAGGCTGAGAACAGAGCTGTCAGTCTTTGCAGTAACATGATTTCAGTGTCATGGCTCTGAAGGTCGTGATGCAGATGCAGAGGATGCAGAGGACTCCCAGGTGCTGGGAGTGTCAGGTGGCGCGCACTTCCCGTGCACATTTGACATCACAGCCACCTCGGGTGCTTTCAGGAGAGGACGTCTCGTTGCGTCCAGGCAGCATGGTGAACTGGGCATTATATTTTTGCTATGTTTAGGTATGCCTTACTCACAGGAATTATTTTGAGGTAATACAGGAAACTTGCAAGGATGAATTCCCATAGGCCCTTTCCCCAGAGTCCCGGGGTGCAGGCATGACACACCACTTCCTCCCTCCGTATAAACACACATTTTCTTGACATTTCCTAAAATTTTATCCCAAAATACTTTAGTTTGTGTTCCTAAAAATATTCTTTCTGAACTCCAAAGCAATCATCAAAATAAGAGAATTAACACTGATTTAATGCAGTTTTCTAATCTATAAACTTTCAGATTTTACCAATTGTCGCATGATATTTGTGAGAAGAGAGACCCAGTTCCCCTGTGCATCATCTACTGCATCCCTGCCCCTGATCCTGGGACCGTCGCGGCTGTTCCCTGCAGCCTGTGGCTGTCAGGCAGCCCCCGTGTTTGGTTCCTGCGATGCTAGACATGGGTCGCATAAGCTTGCGGGGCCCCTGCAGGAATAGTGTTGGGACTTTCTGGGGCGTCATACCAGGAGGCACCAACCATCTATCTCGTGACCAGCCAAGTTAATTTCGAACATTGGCTGAGGCCTTTCTCATCAGCTTTCTAAAACTGCAGAAGCACTATTTTTTTTCCTTGCCAGTTATTAACTCCAAACATACTTTAAAGCTGCCAGATGTGGTGGCACACACCTGTAATCCCAGTACTCAGGAGGCTGAACCAGGAGGACTCGATATGAGTTCAAGGACAGCCTGGGCTCCACAGTGAGTTTAATGAGCACATAGTTTAACTGACATAGCAAGACTGGATCTCAAAAAGAAAAGAAAAGAAAAAGCAAAGAATGAAAAGAAAAGAAGTGAACAAACAAAACTATAGGAAACATCTTGCTCCTCCTTGTACTTTCATCGAGTATTTTTGGCATCCACTGATGATTCTTACATGAATCGCCCTTTTTTAACCTGCTTGGTTACCAAGTGGATATTTTCTGTTCTCCACTCCTGCTCCGTGGTGAGTTGTTGCTCCTGCAGCAACGGCTTGTCTCTCCTCGCCGTCCTGTTCTTGTACAGATGTGCTCATGGAGTGCAGAGCGTTGTATTTAGTGGATGTAGGATGCTAGAATAGGCTGAGCTTTATAGAACCTGCAAGCCGGTCCGCCTTTCTCTCTGAAATGTGCCCTTAGTGTCTGAGCTCCCAGCTCTGCCCGAGTTGTCCCATCCAGCCTGAGCCCTGGAGATGGCCTCTTTTATATTTTATCTTTTTTACAAGAAATTATATGTGCTTTGAGATAGGGTCTTGCTCTGTAGCCCAGGCTGGCTGGCCCTGAACTCATGGCAGTTCTCCTGCCTCAGCTTACTGGGTGCTAAGATTATAGGCATGCACCGCATGCCCAGCTATACAGGAAGTTCTAATCACTATCAAGCATTTTTATTGAAAATAAATACTTCTTCTTACAAAATAGACAATATCAGCCAAACTAGATTCATTCTGGGAGAGAATGTTGTTGCACTGTGTGTTGAGAAGTCCAATTTTCAGTGTGACTTTGGATACATTTGGTCTGGAGGGTTCCAGTCAGTCATCTGGACCCTGGTTCTGTGTGTTTCCTAGCTGCATGCTGCTCATCCGAGCAAGAAGCCAGAGGAAGCTCCAGGTTTACACCAAGAGAACAAAACTCTTATCAGTTAAGCAAGAGAACTGAAAATAGCTGTCATGAAGAGTGTGTTGTACGTTGTCCGCAATCGCAGTCAGCGAGGCCCCTGCCGCGCCATGTGGAGTGATATAAGGGGATCGCTTGGCCAGGGAGGGGCGGCAGGGCCAGCGTGGCAGGCAGGAGAAAGGGCAGCCCTTCAAGGAAGAAAGGAGGTTCCGCAAGACAAGGGAACACTAGCATCGGCACTCCCTGTACGACAGATGCTCCCTTTCCAAAAGAGCACTAAAAAGTGGCATTTACTGGCTCCCCGCTAAGGAAAGCTGGAACCTGAGTCTCACTGATCGTTGGAAAACACCTCTCCAGGGTGGCCTGCTCCCTGCGATGATGCCGCTTCCTGGGTGGTGGGACTCTACAGTTCCCGATATTCGGCTCCTAATAGCAGCTCTTGAATTTCTCTCTAGCTTAGCAGATAAAGTATATGGCCCTTAATTTCCTCGTTTGTCAAAGAATTGATTCTTGTAGTTTTATGATTCTGACCTTCCAGGTCTGATTTTGCTCACCTTCTACATCTTCGTTTTTATCTTTCGTATCATCATAGTGGGGATTTTTAAGGAAGTACAGAGCAGTATGAAAGGGAGGATTTAAGGACAAAGAGAAAGACAAATCCGAACGTGAGTTCAAGTCTTTGCACCACAATTTTTTTGAAAATGGTCATAACACAGCAGAACTAGGAACGCGGGAGAAATCTGTTTGGGTGGATAGAAAAGGAGTTTGGGGTTCCAGATGTCCCGTTTCTCACGGCGTTCAGAGCACGGTCCCTATCACACTGCACACGCTGTGTTGTAATCGGAGGCCACGATGCTGACCCGCAGCCAAGCGCTGCCTGCGTCGGCCCGCAGGTCAGCGTGTGCTCCCTCAGCCAGCTGCTGCTGCTGCTCAGCTCAGTGGCCCTTACGGGTCTTTGTGTCCCTGCGGCCCTTGCATGATCTCTGGCCCCTGCTCTGTTAACCGAAATTGTCTTGTATTTTATAGAAAAAATAATATAAAGACCACTGGACTTGAATCTCTTTAGATCCTTTAGTCCAAGCTCACCATCTTGCCTCCATCAGAGAAGCGTTCCTCTGCGCAGCGCCAGCCCCTCCACTTTCTGTGTCCCTTCTGGTCGAGTCCCCTGCTTCTTCGCTCTTCCGAGTGAGCCTCCCCTCTGTCTCTCTCCACTGACTGGAACTTTCCTGCAGTGCTGACCCAGGACCAAACCCAGAGACCTTCAGCCCCAGGCCCACACCCGTGTGGAGCTGTGAGGGGTGGGGGCAGACGGCTGCTTCCAGGAGAGCTGCGGCCGTTCCCCTCCCCTCCAGTCCTACTCCCAGCCACCCCCAGCGCTAGGCCAGGAGAGCCAGGACCCCTGCAGGGGTGACTGAGGCTTCTGAAGCTGCCCCACCCACTGCCATGCCCACCAGGGTCCCCATCAGAAGGGTCCCAGACGTCACAGCCCAGCAGGAGAGCTCCCAGTGGCATCAGACCGACCTCTGCAGCATTTGGTTGCTGGGTTTTTATAAATGTCTGTTATTTATTTATTTATTTATTGCTGTGGTAGCATTTCTTTATTCTTTCATAGTGTCAATACAGTGCTCCTTTGGACTTTTTTGTTTTGTTTTGTTTTTATTTTATTTTGAAAAGCAAAAACAAATAGAAAAAAAGACAGAAAGAGGGTAACAGACAGTAATACATATGTGACACATTTCCAAAACAGGAATAGCTAATTAACAATGGTTGTTATATTATTGGACGATTTATTTTTGGGTGTGTTGTCTCAGAAGGCCATGGGACCTTAAGAATGAAGCCCAGCCAGCCATGCCTTGATTTTCCCAGTCGTCAGGCAGTGATGTTATCCACCCATTCTCAGTTGGTGATTCTTTTTCTTTCTTTCTTTGGTATAGGATCTTGCTACACAGCTCTGACTCATAGTGATCCTCCTGCCTCAGTCTCCCCGGTGCTGGGATTACAGGTGTGCGCCACCATGCCTGGTTTTGGTGGCCGTCACGGAATGCCTGGAGTTCTGGGGCCAGCCCGGCAAGTGATATCAGGGATCAAACCCAGGTCTTTGCACTGGCCAGGAAGGCACTTAGATCGCCGAGCTGTGTCCTAGGGTGTTGCCAGTTTTAATGTATTTTATATGGATTAATTATCACAAAATTCAGTGAAATTCTAGCTCACATATTGTCTCCAGGACAAAGTAGAAGCTTTTTAGTTAGAGCTATATCTTTAGTTCTGAGCTCAAACCATTTCTGGACTATATTTCTAAATGGCTAGAGAGCAGTCCCACCTCGATGTCTATCAGACCTGCAAAGGCCACAGCAGACCTTTCTCCAAACACAGCCTGACCTGTGTCCACTGGAGTGACCTGTCCCCCACCCAGCCCCACGCCAGAACCCCAGGAGTTAACCTTAGTCTTTCCTTCCCTCCTCTGCCAAGTAACGTGTGCAGGGACTCCCAAAGTGTCCTAGCCCTGCTTTTCACAGCGCCTCCCCAGCTCTTTCTTCTTCTCTTCTGACTTGGGCCCGGGCTCCCCAGCGCCTCTAGAGTCCTCTCCCGAAAACCGAAACGTGACTGTGGCTCCGTGGAACTCAACGCCTCTGATGCTTCCCGCCCACCTCCGTCCCAGCCCGGGCCGCAGCGTCCTCACTCCCCGAGAAGATGGCACAGCATTTCCCCAGAGCCGTGTGCCTTCTCCTGTGCTGCCCTTCCTCCCGCCATCTCCCCAACCCCTCTCACGCTCTGGGGGACACAGCCTCTCTCCTAGCGCTTCCCTCAAATGTATCTCCTGTACCCAAGAACACTCCACCCGGGGTTGTTGTGTTTTGTAGTTGTCACACTGTGTTATCACGCCCTCCGAATGACTGTCAGGAGTGCAAGGGTTGAGCCCAGCATGGTAGCCCACCCCTATAACCCCAGCACTGAGGAGGCTGAGGCAGGAGGATCATTGCAAGTTCGACCAGCCTGTGTTACGCAGTGAGCTCAAGGCCAGCCTGAGCTGCGTAGCAAGACCCTGTCTCAAAAAGACCAAAAAAAAAAAAAAAAAAAAAGTGTGAGTGTGAGTTCTGGAAACTGGGCAGGACCGGGGTTCGCGGTGCTGATTAGTCAGGTCACTAAGGAATGCAGCGTAGAAACAGTGTAACCCGACTTCAGGAAGCTTGCCTAGGGCCACAGGGAAGAAAGTAGGCAGCTGGGTAAGAAAGCAAAATGTTTTAAAGCACTGAAAAATTATAATTAAGTATTCTTGAAAGAGCCAAAAGGAAGAAAAATTTAAAATACTAAAGGTACAGGAACTTAAAAGGGGATGGGATTGTTGGGAGGAGCTTGCTTTAGAGAGAAGCAGAAAGCTTGCCTTTCTGTGTCTACCATGGATGAACAGATGAAGATTTAAATCTGTAAAGAACAGTGTTGAGCTGGAAATCACGGCACAGCGTGAACTTGGCTTCCGTGCGCAGCAGGAGGCCTAACTGGCCTCACAGGCTGGTCGCCTCTGCAGGAGAGCCTCAGATGCCCAAGGCTGAGGGGCTGCACCAGCTGCTGCGCACTGTATCGCGAGATCCGGGTCTGGGAATGTGTCCCCCAGAGGTGGGCTGCACTGCCAGCAGGGCCTCCCGCCCAGGCCCACCAAGGGGACTGAGCTTCGGGGCACATCGTCCCAAGCCCAGGGCCTGCACAAAGCCGCGCCAGACACCACCGCGGTGCGTGAGCACATAACGCGCGGTGCAGAGCATGTTTGGGGCCTAGGGAAGCATCTGCTCTACACAGAAAAGCTGGCTGAGAGGTGCTCCAAGAGATCAGAATAAGCACAGCAGGCGTAAGGTAACAATTTCAGGCGCTGGAGAACAGTGGAAAGCTGCTGGGCACCAGAGAGCCGCCCTAATCCCAGGCCAGCAGAGAGAGCCTGGCCAAGCAGGCACGGGTGAGTCAGGTGCAGGATAGCGTGTGGGAGCCCAGAGTGCTGCAGGCAGGGTCCTGAGAGCAGGGGTCCTTCCTGTCTCTGTACAGGAGGCTGCAGCTATGCATCCGCAGAAGGGAGGGCAGGTGGCCAGGCACAGGCTGTGCACTGTCACAGAGCAGCTTCAGGTGATTACAGGCTGGGGGACGGGAGCCGGCCACAGTCCTGGGCACAGCAGCTGGTGATGGGGAGGGCAGCTGCCTGCGTTGAAGGCTCTGTGAGGCACCGCTCAGGATTCTGTACCGGGAGTTGGCCAGAGAGTCAATCTTATGGACGAGCTTACAGGAAAGAACTCAATAAGGACAAATGCAGTCATGGTTTGTGGGGTGCAGGAGCTAAGACAAGGGTTTCTCTGAAGCACCCATTTTATTGGGTTCTCAAACAAAGGGAATGGATAGCTGAAGTAAAGGCGGGAAACTGAGCAGGACCTTGGGAGGTTTAGGTCGAACACTTCTTCAAGCAGCAAGTTGTGGCAGTGGAGAGAACTGTCCTGTCTTAAGGTTGACAGTTTCATAGTCCTTGAATCCTTTGAGAGTCGCAGCCCTCCTTATCCTGTCTGCAGACACTGTGCTCGGCAGCCTAGCCCTCAGCCAGCTCGGCTCCCATCAATCCTGAGCTACAGACAGCTCAAGGAGGAAAGAGGCGAGTGTTCTCTGTCCTCACATGGAGGAGACACGCGATGACTGAGAGCTCCGTGCGCCTTCCCCGGTGACTCTGGACATGAGCGGGGTTCAGCCACCACCACAGGGCCTTGAGGAACGGGGTCCATGCTGAAGGCAAAAGGATGGCAGGCCAGGAGGGAGGGAAGATTTGCGGGCCGCATGATGCCAAGTAGGCCACACCGGAGTTTTCAAGCAGAGGAGAGCCTGGCTTCGCGTGCGTCGTTACTCTTGCTTGTTCTTGCTTGTCGTTACTCTTGCTGTTGGTGGCTTAGTGACGTGGCAGGAGCTGGGTGGTGGAGGGCGTCTTGGCACGGAGGGTCCTCCATGCTCCTGAGGACCCTGACTCTAGGAGAACTAGCCAGTGGGCGTTTTCAGGAAAGGGCAAAACAGTGTCTCCATTCCAGTGAGTAGGTCAGCTTGTATGAAAACAGGACATGCTTGCGTTTAACTTTCCCTGTTCATATCCATACTCAGAGGCTTATTTTTAAACATTATTCTTCTAGTTACCAATTTTTAAAGTATCATAGCACCCCTGTGTTAACGGCCTCTCGTCCCTATAAAAGAGCTTGTTGAAGAGCTTGATTTGGAAAGAAAAGGGGGATTTGTCGCCCGCATATGGTCCCTGTTCTGCACTCCCCTGCCACCTGGGCCGGGCAAGGAAAAGTGAGGGCAACATCAAGCCCTGCCCTCGCAGCAGGAGTGTGGGGAGCTGTCAGTTCTTTAAGGGTACATGGTCTAGAAGTTGTGTCTATAAACCCTACTAACTTAGGACGTTGTGGTGTCTTGGTATTACCTTTTTAAGTATGTATCTTTATTTACAGAACAAATCATTGGTATTGAGCAGTGTATACAGCTGACCCACAGCCAGTGTAACTTCAAGCTGTGATGGTCTACATTCCTTTGTCTGATGGTTCGTTTTTTTCTTGTAGATCAAAGATAATGTGCAGTTATCTAATTATCTGTCACTTATAACAGCTGTAAATTCCTTTATCTTTTACTGTCCTTTGTGATACTTTGAGAGTTGATAAAGCCAGCCCCATGCCATCACATGAATGAAAATCCGTGTCTTATCCTGTTCATGTTCCAGATACCCTACTCCTCAGCCTCGCCGGGGAATTACGTGGTGAGTGCATTTGGGTGTGCTTGCTTGTAAGAGCTGATGCTCCGTTTTATTGGCTTGGTGAAATAGCTGTCCAGATGTTAAGAAGAGCCCCAGAGTATTGGCCACGAAGTGAACATCTTGAGTCGTTTTGTCTGTCATCCTCAGTACGTATGCCGATGTTCGTGAGCGAAGCAGTTACCAATCTGGCCAGAATTGCCCGGAGAACTACGTTTCCCTTCCGCATACATTTCGCAAGGCAGTGCAGTGCTCTCTAGAGCCAATCGCAAGGAGAGAATCCCGGTCACAGGAGGCCGACTGGGGTTGCAGTTCCTCTGGAGAATACCCCCACGCTCCCAGTCCGCTCCTCCCTGAAGGCCTAGGAGACACTGAAGTTCCTCCCAGTCACAAAGCGGCTCTCGCAATTTGGAGAGATCTTTTAGATTAGCATTCTTAGAAACTGAGAACATCTATCTTTTTCTCATTATTATTTAACACCTGCTAAATTTTTCCAGAAATTCCTATAGACCTGAAGTTAAATTAACAGTCTTCATATAAACTCCTGAACTCACAGATGTCCTTGTCACCCTCAGCACATGACCCTTAAGGCATCTTAAGACCATCATAAGGAATGATGTGTTATGGTATTTATGGGAAAATGCTAACAAAAATGCCTGGGTACAATGCCACAAGGAAAATCTGTCCTGAAGGAGATTTAGGCGGCATGGGCCACTGGAGTAGGGAAAAAGTGCGTGAGAAGCCGCCGAGATCCCCCACGGAGCAGCATGCTGCTCGCTGGCAAGAAGCGCCCCTTGCCCTGGGCCTGAAGACGCCACGTAGCCCTCCGAGCGCGAACATGGACACAGTCTGGCCGTCTTCAGTCTATACGACTGGTTTACAGAAGTCACTAAGGAGAAACCTGATGAAAATACAGACTTTCATTTGAAAGGAAGTTTAAAGTGTTTATGAAATAGCAAATACTTTTTTAAAAAAAAATTTATTCATTTTAATGAGAAAAGATAAAATAGCAATGAAACAGTTTCAAACAGGTTAGTAAGGTAGTTACAATAATGAATACATTGCACATTGTCTTCGTAGTAGTTACTCTCTAGAGGACAGGGTACAGACATGCTATCTTGTCTAAGCAAAGTTAGTATAAACCTTTCTTCTCATTGAACTAAGAGAAAGCAGCTGTATTTCTGTCCTAACTATCTTGCATATACATATATGCTGTACATATATTATTTGACATAATTAGTAGGTCATGTTTGCATACTCAGAATAAAGTGAAAAACTGGTCACCTAAGAGTTAACATGAAAAATCTGAAACCCATCCCCGGGTTTCCCACGGTGGTGTCCTGAGCAAGTCCCCACAGTCCACTGCGCTCTGCCCGAGTTCGAAGGTGAACCTCAGTGTCAGGAGCGTGCAGGGAGCCACCGCCGCAGCCCTGGCTCGCCGATGGGGCCCAGAGAACAGCGCTGGTGTGGTTTTGTAAAATGCCAATCTCCCAATTCACGTTCTTTGGTTTTTAAACATCTTTTTGGTTTCCTATAAATAGAACCAGTAATACAAAATGTAAGGTAATTGCAGGAAACTAAATCACAAGAACACAATAATTATTTCTATTTTATGGATTTGTAAAGCTTCCATTAAGTAGTTTCAGCTTAACCTCATTCCACCTGGTGTGGTGAAGTCATGAATAATAAATCTGTTTCAGGCCCATTGTTTTTGGAAACTTGTCAAAACAGCCTCAACATAGATCAGTTAAATTATGTTATAGAGGGGCTGGTGAGATGGCTCAGTGGTCTAAAGCACCTACTTCGAACAAGCTTAGCAAAGCACCAGGACCGCGGTTCTACCCCCAGCACCACATGCCAGCCAGCCCCGCCCCCTGGTGGGCTGAGCAGGCCACACACACACACACACACACACAAATAAATAAATAAAATTTAAAAAAAATTACGTTATAGATAACATTGGAATGACTTTGTAAAGAAAACAATAATGGAGAAAAGAGTTCCTTCGTTTAAAAAATTTGGATTGTTACAGAGATAAGTGTAACTTGGGTTCTGTGTTTTCTTTATATTAACGAAGTGCCTTATTTCTCCTGCCATCTTGTAATCATTTAGGGTCCCCCTGGAGGTGGCGGGCCACCCGGGACTCCTGTCATGCCCAGCCCGGCAGGTACGTACAGCGGCCCGACTGCTCACGTGCACACACGGCTGAAGAATGAAATCACGAAAAAGTCATATTCATTGTCTCACAAAAAGTTAAAGAAGTTAGGGAGAGGCAGCAGGAAGGAAGAGGTAGAGTCCTCAAATAATGATTTTCTAGTTACTTCTTTAGAAAATTTCTATTGTGTGGGTAACAGATTTAGTCAGTATGCAAACTGTGTTGATTTATGTGAGTTGTCTAACAATTTATCTACTCTAAAGAGTCCTTGAAACCAAGAAAAGATCCAAATCTCAGATTAGCCCATTCTTATATAAGTAAGACCCTAAATGCACACACATCTGTTGGGTTTAAACTAGCCGATCAGACCCATTACATCTATCATCTAAGATGCATATAGGTGTGGTCACAGTATTATTCACCCTGCATGTCTCTGTGAATTTACTGATTAATAAATTTACTATGTAGTAGGAAAAGTTTTTTTAAATCTATATTAAAGTCTATTTCAGTATATCCATTATCATTTGACATAATTATTTCCAATAACTGTATTCTTTCTCCTTGAGACTTTAATATAGACTATGAAATGTGTTTGGAGATTAGTGATTGGAGCTGAAATTGGCAGTTGTTGTAGAAAGTGCTCTGGGTGACGTGGACTCACGGAAAAGCTCCTGCCATGGGTCTCTCATAACCGTAGTACTAAAAATGACTGTAGATACAATCCAAGATCATGTGCAGGGTGCCCATTTAGTATACCCAGTAGTGAAATAGGAGACACAGCCTTCAATCCTACCCCAACTAATTTTATGACATTTGATATAATTAAAATTGTCAAAAAATTTTCAGTGACATAGAAAAATAAATGCTCATGACTCAATTATATGTCGTGTGTGTGTGTGTGTGTGTGTGTGTGTAGAGACAGAGAGAGAGCAGAAATCTAAGAACTTAAAAAATGGCAAAGCTATCAGTGATGACTGCTTGCTGATGAACTAGATGGCAAACTTTTATAAGCAGAATAATTTTTAGTTATATTTTGTTGCCCAGTTCAAGCATCTAACTAGTTTGTTGAAATCTAAGTCATATGGATATTTTAAATCCAATATCAGTAAACATACCAGTAAATAACTTTTCAGTAAACTTTTATGGTGTCTTTTATGGCACTCTCATTAGAAATGAAACAATTCACTGAAGGTGGGATTGTGTGACACTGGTGTTTGCACTCTTAGGCTGTGACACATTAATGTAATCTATGAAGGAAGCATGTATTAACAAATCCTTCATTCGCTCCAGGAGTAAAGTCTATTTGGACAGTCTTGGACACTTCAGGGCATAAATAATCTTACCTCTTCCTTTTCTCAAGTCAGAAATTGCCACCAGTGTGCCTTCCTAGCATTTCTGTATTTTTTTTAATATATTCGTCCTTTATCACAGTTACTCTTCTAACAGTAAGCCAACAACCCCAGCACCAAAAAGTGGTGCAGAATATGCACTTTCTTACAAAGGAAAAAATCCAGACATCCCCTTGGAAATACCACCCTAAGCTCCTACTCCTGTTTTTCTTTTCAGGTGAAGTTATATTCTCCATTGGTCTTAAAAGTGATAAATTTATCAAAGTTTGCATATTTAAAGTTTACAGACCATTTTTCCTTTCACAAAGAATGCAGCTATTTTCTATAGTTGAAAACCAGTGTAAAGGTTTCATTTGTTCAAAATGCTGTCCGAAATGTTCTGAAAGACAGCTTTTCCTCATAGAGTCTGCCCCCTTAGTTAAGTACACCCGAGACGGCAGTCCCTGTCCAACGTGCCGGGCGGTGGGGCCCGGCGTCTTCCTTCTGTCAGCGAGCAGTGGTAGCTGGGCTGGATGCCAAGGCAAACTCAACAAATAAAATCTTAACCAGAATGCAAGATGGGCGCCATTAGTGGGGAGCCCTGCGTACCCCAAAATGTCAGGATACAGCTGTGGACGAGGCAGCACTTGAAGGGGGCCTTAAGAGAGCAGAGTTCAGCTAGGGGCGCTGGAGAGGGCAGGTTGGGAGGGAGAGCACAGCGCAGCCCTGGGAAAGGGAGCCTCGCGCCTCGGGTGGGAGGCCAGCGGCGCAGGCCTCTGCCCAGGGCCGCGCCAACTGCGTCAGTGCTGCCGCCACCCTGTCACCGGCCGACCCCGAGGTCATAGCCTGCCAATGACGGGGCTCCGCCTGCATAGGAGATGCGGGTGCAGCGAGGTCGCCGGCTTGCAGAGGTCAGCCGTGGGCTCCTGCTGGCTGTGAGGAGGCGGCTGACTCCCGCCTGCCACGACGCAGCTCAAGAGAGCATGCGTGCTTCGCTTCTGTCTCAAGTCAGTGCAGCGCGCATCTTACGGAATACATCTTCTGTTCAGAAAACATCGATGTACTACTGTATTTAAGAAAAGTGAACAACTGTAAGAAAATGAGCTATATTTCAAAGTTGATATTTCCTTACTGTAAAAAATTAGCCTTTCAAGGCTGGCCAGATAGCTCAGTGGATTAAAGCACCTACTTAGGCAGATGCAGGGACCAGGGTTCAGTCCCCAGTCCCCAGGGAGTGTTGAGACAGTGATGGAGACTGGGCATGGTGGCACGCCACTGTAATCCCAGCGCTTGGGAGGCTGAAAACAGGAAGATCACGACGAGTCCGACCTACGTAGTGAGACCCTATAAACACTGCACTAACTACATTTTAAAAATTAGTCTTCCACTCTAAATTTTACATCATAAAACCACACACTGAGACTTCACTAAAATTAGATAATAAATAGGAAATATGAATTTTTTAAATACTAAAAAAGTTACATAAATTTTCATTAGTGTGTAAATTTATAATGAGTCAAGAATAAAATGAAAAACATCCAAATTTATTTGGTAAAGAAATGTGGCTTTTACTTTCATTCCAGCAGGACTAGTTCTAATTTCTTTCTTTTGGAATTAAACCAAGATATTCTACCATAGCTTTTTTAAAAGACCTATTTTAAAATTTTCTGTACATGAAGTTTTAGGAAATACTGAAAACTGAAGAGGTACTAAATCTAGACCTAAGAGATTTTGGTCTTATACTTGCAGGGCATTGCTTGGAGAAGTCAAAGTCATAAACAATCATGATTTATTTTAAAAAGAAAAAATTACTGTAATTTAAAATTTTTTCAAGTGATATTCCTTAGATCTGATTTTTTTTGAGGAACCAGGGATTGAACTCAGGCCCTTGCGCTTGCCAGGCAAGCACTTATTCTACTGAGCTATTTCCCCAGCCCCCAATCTGATTTTTTGAAGTGGAGTTTTTCTCCTATACCTGATTTCAGACGCATAAGTGATAGTTTGTGGTCAGGAAGTGATGCACTGTTTCCAAGCGTTAGCAAGGCTGCCTCAGGTGCTCCCGCCTGCTGCCTGTTTGCATTCTGACTGGCTTCAGCTGTTATTCCGGGATTATGTGGCTGTACCTTGTACAGGAAGATAATAATCTAGTAATATTTCATTTCAGATTCAACCAACTCTGGAGACAACATGTATACTTTAATGAATGCAGTGCCTCCTGGACCCAACAGACCTAATGTAAATATGCTTTTGTAAATGTGTTTTGAAGACTTTCAACCTCCAACTCCATTCTGTTTCCTGAATAATGTATAAAAATTCTATTTTATTATCGAGGAGTTTATTGGAAATCAAAAAAATTATTGATATGTTGGAGACTGAAAATGAATGTATCACACAAGATTGTCCATCAATATAATTTAAATATGAAACCAAACTTAATTACAAAATGTGGATCTTTCATCTTATTCTACTTCAATGCTTATATTAATACTATTTTTAAATGAAAATTATATAGAATCATTTGTTTTGACCAGGTTTTAGCATAACTAAATTTTCTCCATTGTAAGTTTTTTAATGTTAACCTTGAAAACAGATTGCTGGATGTGTTTGTTTTTCTCTGGATTACAAAATGTAGGGTTTAAATACGGAGCTGGGAGAATTCTCTGGAAGAACTCGCATGCTTGCTCTGAAGTATTTGGTTGCAGTTGTTTCCCACAAAGCTCCCAGGAAGTGGTTGTTTATGATTTAGGGGCCACGTGTTAACAAAATTACTAATGACAGAACAGTTACTAGATAATCTAAATATAACTATTACAGAGTTAAACTAATTTCATTACATTAACTACATTTTTATACATTATGTAACTGTATTAAATATATTGTTTTATGTTACTATAGTTATACTGATGTCCGTGAACAGTAGCTATAGTAAGTGTGTGACACCACAGTGCACACGTGCGTACAGAAGAGCTGAGCTGAAGAAGAGTGCAGAGTAGTTTCTATGTAGTCAGCTGCCCAAGTCTGTCACCCAGAGTCTGAGGATCTTCTGAACACCGCGGGGCCACCCAAAGGGCCACGCCCTGCACACCCCGGCTGTTGGGCTCTAGCTCGTTTCTGAACCTCCAGCCAACCGGTGCTTTTGATAAGAGCTGAATGGCAACATGGAGTTAGGAGTCATCCTCTTTGATTTGTCAGTGATAGGTGCGTATTCTAAGTCGTTCACTAAAAGCCCACACACTTTTAGATGCTCAGTTTTAGGCAACAGAATTGTGATTCCTCTCGAAAAGTGCAAATAAGCACACGAACGGCGCCTGCGCAGGTGGCAGGAGGCCACCATGTCTCCACACATGGTGCCGTGCAGGCTTGTCTGCTGAAGGTTGTTTCCCCCACACCACCTGCATGCATGCACACACACACACGTGCACATGCACAAGGACACCACAGTCACTGTTTTGCACCATGCTGCATGGAAGAAATCCTCTGTGTAGAAGAAGTTTAAAGAGAAAATGTTTTCAGTAGGTTACCTTATCCTAAAAGTGTGATTATTTGAGATAAGGTGTCTTCACACTGGCCCGGGGTTTCCTCAGAAGTATTCTAGGGAGGTAAAGAGAAGCCAGCGTGGGCAGGTCATAGGCTCCCATCCCCACAGCTTCCGTGGCCCATCTTCCACAGCTGCTTCATACCAGGCTTCCAGCATAAGATTTCACTGCAAAGAGAAGAGAATCCACTTCTGTACCAAGCATTACATGCAGTTACGTAGACTGACACAGCCAGCCTGCCAAGGTGAATTGGCTCCATTCAGCTATCCAGAGGGGCTAGCTGTTCAACCTGTACGATGACACGACTTAGTAAGTCCACTTGAACAAAGACAGATGGCATGCTCAGAAGAATGTTAATGTTGGCAGATGCCATCGAGATCTTCTTCCTCATAACCCAATACTTACGGCAGCTTCTAAGAGCTGCTCACAGTTTATGTAGAAATTGCCAGAATCAGGCGAGAATGCCCCCCCTCGTGTCTGCCCTGGAATGTGTGCTTTCTAGCTAGGGATATCTAAACAAGAGACACTTAGGTGTAGCTGAAGTTTGCCCTGAGTGTCAAGAGCGTAGAGACAGTGAGGTCGAGGGATGGGCAGCCCAACTAGAGAAGCTGTGGGGCGGAAAAAGATCGAATATGTACTGTTATCTGAACATGAAGAAGCGTGCGGTTGTGTCTTATGATCATCAAGACAGCTACTCGAGCACTGAGATACAGCTGCTGGCAACACGGTCATCACGCTTGTGTTCCTCACTCTCCAATAGTTTCCAATGGGCCCGGGCTCGGATGGTCCCATGGGTGGCTTAGGAGGAATGGAGTCGCATCACATGAATGGCTCTCTAGGTAAGGATTTTGCACCTTCCTTCCATGTGTGGATGTTGCAGGGTGCGATCCCTCATCTCCAGCTATGGCAGCTTTTACCTCAGAATATTAAGGGGCGGCCTCCTGGCCACGGGCACATCTTCTGGGACTCGGGCGTGCGAGGGCTCGGCCTCCTCCACAGCCACAGGTGCTCCCTGCTCCTGTCCCGGGCTAGGTGTCCTGGGCTCGGAGGAGACGGGGCACGGTGCTCGCGCCGTGCACGCTTCCCTGGAGCACTGCAGTATTCCCAGCTGGCTTCTTTGTCACCAGCGGTCTGGGGATGCAGTCCGGGTAGAACTTCAGTTCTCTGCCGTGTTCCTTCTCGCTGCAGCGAGATCCATGTTCTGGATCTGAGCAATTCCACTGTGAGACAGCGTGGCCGACACTCTCCTCATGATAGCGCTGATTTCATGAGTTACTGAGGTGTGAATGCATGCTTCATTCACAAGGCCTTCTAACCAAAGAAACCAAATACCTGCCAAGTGAGTAGAGGCTTTACAGTAGTGACAACAGAGATGGGTGGCATCAAATTGGCTGGGTCACTAAGCACATGACAGTGATGTCCTAGCTCATGAACATAATTTGTTCCATGACTTTGGAAAAGATGTGCACGTTTTTGTTTGCGTGGTAAAGATAGCTGTGTCATCTTTGTCACCCAAGCCAGAGTTTGGAAATAAAACCAAAAATATCCCAAATCCTTCTGTTTGTGAACCAAATTGTTTTCAAACAAAGCGTTCATGAACCAAAGCACCCCTATATTGTTAGGCAAAACAAATGCAAAAAAAAAGAAAAATGTATCTTGTTTGTACATGTTTCAGTGGTATGACCAGAAACTAATGTAAAAATTGCCAGTGGGGATAAATGACCCTTTTATAAAGAGTCTTTTACTTAAATTGAGTAAACTATGCTTATGGACAACTTAGGTTACATATAGATTGCAATCCCCATCCAAGGTCAGGAAATGCTTCCAGCTGATATTTTGAAAATATGTATAACTTCGGGAATCCAGAAATTATTTGCAGCGCATTGACTGACTTCTTTCCTTTTAAAGAGCCATCCTTCATCTGCCTACATCTCCAGGTCTTGTTTTGTTGTCACTGACCTGCACAAACTGCGGTAGCCATTAGTCACATGTGGCCATTTAACTTGGAGTTAAAATACAAGGCCCAGTCCCTCCTTGGCCAGGTCACAGTGTCAGGTACCAGGCGGACTGAAGGGCTCTGCACTGGGCCTCAGAGATGGGCTCCAGCCTCACACGGTTATGTACAGCCTGTTCCAAAGTGGATTTCAAAACAATTCCCTTCCCATCCTTTCATTTGTAAAATTAGTCACAAAAAGATGATGTCTTGACGTAGTCAGAAGGTTCTCCATTGTTTTATTCCCCAGAGTAGAATTTCAGGGTTGTTTGCCATGTGCTTGGCCCGCGTCTCATGCCGCTCTATGGTCAGTGTTACTGTACATATTTACACATGACCTGGTGCAGGCATGCAGTTAGCAGTACACATTAATCATGGTAAACACTAACTTTATTTGTGATGTTGTTTAAATGCTATCTTGTTAAAATATTAAAATTATTTGAAGGAAAATTATTAAAAATAATATAGTTTGAAATAAACTAATATTCTTGCAAAGATCTGATTGTTACTTAATGTATAGATCAGTTTCTTATGAGATAAAAGTAATACTGATTATTCATTTTTCCAAGAACAAATACAATATTGTATCTTGAAGGCATTTTTAGTTTTTATCATGTATATTTATTGCTGTCAATTTTTTAATATTCTTAACAATACTTTGCTTTTTGTTATGATAGTAAATTATGGTTCCAAATAATGACATACATTACTATACATGTAAATTTTCTGTTTTATAATTTGTGAACATATGTGTAGGTATCTACTTCTTTGTAAATTACATACATGTTTTTAAATTTTAGTTAAATAGGGTGCATAAACGATCTCAGATGTTTCCCTTTCATGACTGTGGTAACAATAGTTAAGGCAGAATTCCTTTCATTTGCAGTCAGATGAGGCTAATTCTCTTTACAGGAGTAATTTCTAAATGATGCTATTTCTAACCTAATAAACAGCTTTCTTATTATATTTTTTTAGGCTCAGGAGATATGGACAGTATTTCCAAGGTAAGTGCTGTGTATTCTCTGTTTTATTTTTTATCTGTGTCTTTTCTATATAAAATTATCACCAGAATTATTTGAATGAATATGTAACTTTATGATTTTTTTTCTAGTATAGAAGATGGAAAGTAAACTCCAGACATGAGTAATGGCTCATGTAATGACTCTAGCTTGGCATGCTAGAGTCAGTGAGCTTCAGGAAAAGGGTCTTTTAGGAGGCTCCCTAGGCCTGCTAAGATTCACATACTTACCATATTATAGGTGATGATTGGCACCCAGGCAATAACCAGCCTAATCTCATTGTGATATTACATATTTGCAAATTAGACTGACAGTTTAGGCAATCTTTTGGAAATGTAAAGATGTCTAAAGCGAGTAAAAGGTTGAGAAAGTGGTTCTCTCGTTGTTAAGGGCACTGGACTTGGACATTCGTTTGGTCTTACAGGCTGTCACTGCACAAGGTTGATATGTGCGTCATTATTCTTATTCCCAAACTAGAGTGCGAAAGTAATGAGAAATTATCTGAGCATAAGTAGAAAAGTGTGTGTGTCTGCATTTTTCAGTTAATCCTTTGCTAAAATCTTATATTTTTCAGAAGAACAAAACCTAAATATTTTTTAGGTCATGATGAATCTAAAATAGCTAAGAGTCAAATATATTTAGAATGCTAGATAAGAACTAATACTTATTAGCTAGCACTGGAATGATTCTCTTAGATGTCTGCTTTTTATCAGTAGAGTTCATTAAAGCATGGCTTTTATTTCTGTTTCTAATTTATAGTCATAGCAATGTAAAATTCCTGATGCCAAGGAAAATAAAGTAAGATTTATTGAGCTACAAAATATTTCCCTTAGACTTGAGCCTGAAAAACTAAATTTTGAACTGTAATTCTGACATTTAACCTACCTGTACCACCTGGGTGGCTGGCCCCGCGGCCCCTGGAGGTGCTAGAAAGGTTTCCAGGGGTACTGGCAGGCTCTGCGGAAGCGCAGGCGGTCAGCCCTTTCCCAAGTGGATTCCCGCGTGGTCTCCGGAGAGCGGCTCGCTGCAGCGCGGCCATCGCGGGTGGTTGCAGCAGCCAAGCGCTGGGCTCTGCGGTGACAGCCCCAGCCTCCCCTCTGAAGGCACGCAGGTGCCGGCCCACACAGCGGGCCCCTCGGCGCTAGGTCTGCTTGCCAGGCCTCCGCTAAGAGCGTGGGCAGCGCGCGTCCGGGCGCGCGCCTCCTGACCTGCGGAGGTGTCCTCGCTGTGCCCCACCCGCGTCTCCCCCGCCGTCCTGCGCGCCAGCAGCGTCCGTGCCGTGCCCAGTGGCCGCTGGCCTTGGCGTGGCCCTGCACACCGCGGAGACGCGGGGCCTGGGAGCGCGCACTGCGGCCTCCCGTGGCCTCCGAGGCTCGCCCCTCTCTGGATGCAGACGCACCGCGCTGCTGCGCTGGGCTGCGAAAGCAGAGCTGCCCGGTGCGGGGTCTGCTCGAGGCCCGGGAGGGCGGCCCCGGCCAGGCGCGCGTGCCGGGCAGCGAGGGGACCCCGCCGTGCAGCCCGCCAGCCAGGCCCGGGCGCTGCCTGCTCTGCGCCCCAGCCGGAGCCTCTCCGCAGCGTCGCAGCCCCCTTTCCTCCGAGTCTCCCATTCACGCCCTGTATTCCAGCTTCTCCTTCCCCAGGTGTACTTATTTTTTTCTCATTACTAACTTTATTGAAATTCAATAATAGTTATATAGCAAATTAAAAATTATAGACAAATATTGAAATGTAAAAGATATAAGATGTAGACAGTGAATTTTAGAAAAATATTTCGGAAATTAATATATAACATGAGATTAATTATAAATTGCACATTGTAAAAAATTATTTACAAACTTAAATGAATATAACAATAAAAATTAAAGTAAACATGAAGAAGAGTTTATAGATCAGTCATATAATAGTTCACTCTGTGCCAAAATCAAGAAACTTATATTTATATAATTAACTTATAACTTATATTTATATAATTAACTTATAACTTATATTTATATAATTAGAATTCTCAAAGTAGAAAGGGGTAGGCAATTAATATTTAAATATTTAAAATTTATGAATTTAGTTAAAATTATAGCACCATTTTTCCAAGAAAAATGAACCTTCTTTTGCACAAGAAATATGAATAAAATTATACCAAGATACACAAAAATGAAATCATCCAAAACTAATTGTAAAGAAAAAAGCTATTAAAGCACATACATAGAAAAAAAAATTAGCTGTGGAAGAACAAAATTAAATAGCATCTTATTCCACATTAGAAAAAAAAAAAATCAAGTGAGTAAGAAACTAGACTTACTGATTCAAAGGACTAAAAAAAAAAATCTGTCCTGACTGAATTTTACACTTAGCAAACATACTTTGAAAACCAAAAATAAAATATTTTCCACTTATACAAACTCGAAATATTCTAATACCTCTAGATGTAGCATATAGAAAGTAACAAAGACTATAATCCAGAAGGCAAGAGAAGTTGCTTTTATGGTCCTGGATAAAGAATAAAGAGCTCTGAAAATGGTAATTATGCAGGAATATGTAAAATATAATTATATTAGACAAACTCCTTTAAAAGGTCATTGAAGATTTCCACAAAACACTATCAATCTTATGTCAGGTTATATACATACTTTTTCGTGTGTGTGTGTGTGTGTGTGTGTGTGTGTAAAAAACAAGAAAGAACTAATATAAAGTCAATGGAAAATGGAAATACACTTTTCAAAGTTTCTAATACTAGGAGAGAATATCATACCATATCTTATAAGTAGATTGTAAGACAAACAGTATAAATCATAAAACAAAAATTAAAATTAAACAATATTGGAAAATTAAATGTAAATTAATTCAAAATTAAATTAACTATTTCAAAATAATATTGAAAAATTAAAATTGAATTGTGAGTCCAACTAAGAGGCCAGAATGTAATATATCATGTGTACAAATCTGTGATCAATTCAGAGTACTCACATAGTATTTGATTAGGTTAATATATATAAAACTATCAACTAAGAAAAAGTTTTCATGATAGTAAAGAATTACTAAGAATAAAAAATAACAAAAGTA